CCTATCGGAGCCCTTTTCCCTCTCCTCTTCACCGCTTTAATCCTCACTAATGCCCTCTACTCCTCTCTACTCTTTTCTTCAGGCGTGTCCTCCTCTCATCTTCTCAACTGTATGTTTTAATTCCGTCTCTGTTGTCACGTGTCCTTTTCTCTCCTCACTGCTCTTCCCTTTTCCACAACCCATAAAAGATCCCTCTCCTCTCCTCTCCTCCCTTCCCAACCATCTACTCTTTTCTTCAGCTGTGTCTTCCTCTCATCTTCTCAACTCTTTTGTTTCAATTCTCCTCTTTTGTCTCATGTCCTTTTCTCCCCTCACTTCTCCTCCCGTTTCCACAGCCTATATTAAATCCCTCGTCCCTCCTTTCCTTCTCTCTCCTCTCCTCTCCTCCTGTACTCTCTGCACCTCTCTCCTCTCCTCCACTCTCCTCTCATTGCTACGCTGTAATTGGAGCTGGAAGCCTCAAGACAAGCAGCTCAGTGTACGTCAGGCTGACAGGCAGGCCCGTTGGCTTCTATTAAGCTTTAATAAGTGAGCAGGATTGGAAGAGGAGAGAAGGAGTTGAAGGGAGGGGAGAGTGTGCACGCTGTTGCTTCTACTGTCACCTCTCGATAGGATGAATGGAAACCTGCCTGCTGTCACACACACACACATGCACACTACCACATATATCCTTTCCTTTCCATCAGCTCATTCAGCTTATTGCCACTTGCTATAGATTTCCGTCTGCATGTTGTGCATCCAAGAGAGACAGACTTGTGTGGGGAAATAAAAGAAATTCACAAAAATAAATCAACATCATCTGAATGTCCGAGTCAAAGAGAAAGGGAGTCGAGGAAGCATATCGAGTGTGAGAAGGCCAGCCTGTCTCTGTTCTACAGCTACACACACAGAAAGCCACACCAACACACACACACACACACTTGTCAAGTCCTCTCCCCCTGCATGAGGATGACAGCAGTATTATTGCAGCGTGCAGAATTTAATCTGAAGTGCCACACAGCAACCCCGGACCACAGTTGAGGTAAATGTTAGAGAAATATCTACAAGCTCTGCAGCTGAGTACAGCAAGAACAATACCAGATGTGGTGTGTGTGTGTGTGTGTGTGTGTGTGTGTGTGTGTGTGTGTGTGTG